AATGTTCAGTTGCATGTGAGTATTGACAGCTTGGTAAGCTCACTTCAAGAGGCTTCAGACCTCAAACTGTGAGTCTGAATAATATTTCTCTAAAGGGAGGAATAAAATAAATAAAATCTATTACCAATCATTATTTTTCAGTGTTAGGTAGTTGTGCAAAAGGCAGGATAACACATAATGAGCTGGAAACTACTACTACTACTCACCTTTGTATGGTTTCTCACCTATAACCACCTGTTTTTGTATATATTATCCCTTCTATAAGTTGCATTACTTTGTTTTACCCAGGAAATGTCTTTGTTCAGTGGAACAGCTCTTTACTCAGCAGACACCACACACTGCCTGCCCTCAAAGGGTGCTTTAATACGCCATTGTTCATTTAGCCTCTGAGAATATTGTCTCCACCTGTGACCCCGGCAGCTACTGCAGTTTCCATTTCCTCAATCTGCAGTTCATCATGAATCTGCCCGATCATAAGCAGCACTTAATGATTCATGAACAGAGGACCTAATGGAGTACTTTACACGTTGTAATCGAATGAGACCATAATGGAGAAACTGGCTGCTTACTGGGGGACGTTGATCAAAGAAGGACTCTGGATATGATCATGAGATGCATCAGATGTAGAAAGATGGCACACGCTAGCATCAAGCTTTTGGACTGAGGTCCACATTAGCATGTCTTTGAAAGAGAGGGATCACGCTGGTACACATTTACTCTCAGGAGCCAAGGTCATAAAACTGATGGAGTCTCACTAAAAGCAGACTCTTCAACTTGCCAAAAGCTTTTTACAAGAAGAAAAGAAAGTTTTGAGATGGCTAGGCTCGAAATATTTAACACTGAAAAAAAAAAAAAAAAACTGAAAAGATGAGACAGAAAGGAGTTATTTTCATAATGCCTAGTAATACTCTTTGTCACAGTCATCTTTTGTCAGACACATTAGAGCCTAAAAATCAAAAATCTTTGAACTACTTTTCTGGAGAAAAAGACAAATTTTTCATTTGAATTATTGTCTGTCTCTATTTTATATCAAATAAGGTAACACAATAGGACTGGTGGAGCAAATGGGACACTGATGAAAGCTCTTACATTTGCAGTATGACTAACTGGGTGGCAACAGACTGGTAAAACCATGAGTGGTGTATTGTAAGTGGGCTCTTCTACATCAATCGGCAGAGATCAGTTCACTCTAAATTCTCAGAGATATAGCATCAGACTAGTTCTTCACCTTTTTGCTTTACAAGGATGCACAATGTTTTCATCAGTGCAAACATCACCACAAACTTCTACAACAGTTAATGTCAAATACACACTGACTTTGAGACTGTTTATCGAGCAATGGCAAAGCTACGATGACTAGACGTTTAAAAAAAGATTAAAAAAATATACAAACAACACAAGCTCTTGGTCTTGGTGGTTCCCATCCACCGTCCATTCAAGATCAAGATTATGCTTACTAAAATATTTGCCTTACGACGACGGAGTATTAGGGCCACATTAAGAAAAAAAATTAGACTTCAAGAATTAAGGCGTTAATTTACAAGAATAAAGTAAAGTAATTACTTACAAGAATAAAGTTGTATTTAAATCATTACTTACTAAAAGATAGTTGAAACAAAATCATTTGTTATGAGAATAAAGTCGTAGTAAAGTAATTACTTACGAGAATAACGTAATAAAATCATTATGATTCTTATGATGTTGTGGTGCTGATGTGCCAAAAGATTTAGTATCTCCTTGCTTGAGAGACCTATATTGAAGTACATTTTTATGAAACGCTCGATGGCTCTCATTCCAACAACTGTCATTTTAAACAACATGTTAGAATATAATGATTTTATTCTGACATTATTCTTGTAAGTAATTACTTTACTACAACTTTATTCTCATAATTACTTTATTATGACTTAATTCTTGCAAATAATCATTTGATTATAACTTTATTCTCATAAGTAATGATTTTATTACGACTTTATTCGTTTAAGTAATGATTTTTTTACGACTTTATTCTTGTAAGTAATGACTTTATTATTGTCAATTAATCTCAAAGTCTTTTTTTTTTTCTCAATGTGGCCCTAATACTCTGTCGCAGCCTTACCTATCTGTCCTTTTTAAAAATTTGTCTTTAATCACCTTCAACTGTGTGCATTTGATCGTCTGGCCAATATTGTGATTGCAATTAGAATGTAATTCTCTGTGCCACCCCTGTAAGCACAACATATATTAACAGGGTATCGTGCTTTTTTTCAGGCTCTATATTTCCTTTCTGATACCACTTTAATGGTTTGATGTGATTTTCAGATCAATAAAAAGCCTCAAATTTCTCACAGTGGTGTATTAAAATATCATTATTTCAGCCTCCTGAAATGCTTCGTTTCAGCTGCTGTCTCTTTACTCAAGTCATCGCTCAAGTCTACCTGAATTACATATTTTTAAACTGTAGGAAGAAACATGCACTTCACATAAATTGCATAGAAAATGTCACTTCTGTTTCATACTGACACACACCAGCTCTCACATCTGTAATTATGCCCACACAAACGCATACACACACACATGGTTATTCCTCTCTCCCTCTCTTTCCTTCTCTCCCACTGTCTCCCGCTCTGCTTCATCTCTTTACTCTTCACCCATTTCTTGGGTGCCAGCACTTGTTGGAAGGGAAGAAGTGTTGACAATTGTCTTCTCCTGCCTTGTCACCAACAACTTTGTCACACTTCACTGCCAGCTTAATTCACAGACATCCCTGTCAAGAAATGACATTTAATTTTCACACCTCTTCTCTCTGCTATTCTTCCTTTCAGGAATTTTATTTTCAAGCACACCCCCAGTGCATTGGCTGTCTGGCAGTATCGATATCCCTGACAGTATGGGAGTCTTTAGCTCAAATGAACACTCCTGCTATCTTTGTCTTTCTTAGACTCACAATGCTTTATGACAAAGGTAAGTCATCTTTAAAGTACAATGTCACCTCAACAGAGCAGGGCTACATTGTTGATGTGACATTTTTTTCAAAATCCACCTACAAAGCTTCATTTCTGTCTTTTTTCTCTCCATATATTATCACGCTGACTGAACCGTTTTACTTCTTTAGGTGTGAGATATATGAGAGATATATTCGCTGTTAACCATACATATGCAAACTCACGGAGGCTGTCGCAGGTCCCCAGTGTTTTTGAAAATCAATGCGACGTGGACGCAAGGTGCAGCATGCTCATGAACAGTCGGGGTTGTGCAGGGACAGAGAGGGATCTGAAAGCACAGCAACAAACATGCCAATCAGAATAACAGGCGACACGTGAGTTTTAATATGTGGCCTATGTGAAAACCTGCAGGACTAAAAGGAAACAAGTACGATCACCTCAGGGCACTGAAATAATAATTAGAAAAACTAAAGGGAAGTGCTGATAGTGTGATCAGTCCACCAGTCATCAGTCCTGATCTGGTTTAAGAATCTCTCACTAAGACCCAAAGTTCATTGGTTCATGTACATCCTATGTTTATCCTCTTTCATGACAGGGCTGTTAATTACTTGATTATTATTTTGGTTTTTATATACATCATATTATAATGGTCTTCTACTTCTGGACAACTGACCGTAGCTGAGAGGAACACACTGTCTCCAGGGATGGGGGCTCTTGTAAGATTAGTGGTCCATCCATTGGCTGATGAGGATAATAACAGGAGGCCAGTTGTTCTTCTTTTTTTTTTTTATTTGATTAAATATAATTACTAGTATTTTATAACTGCAACATTCATTATTCCATGAACATAACAATTGTCTACATATGGATATCTTAACAGGAAATATGTTTCTGATGGATTTTGAAATTTGAAAATCACTGAGCAATACTTTGGGTTTCAGAGCATGACCGGTATTCATGTCAGAGGTCATATTAAACGGCTTTATTCTAAACATTATAACAGAATATATATGAAACACCAGCCTGTAACTGTTTTAGATTTGAATGTGTTATCTTTTAAGGGGATTATGACAATGCTCATTAACAGCAACACTGACGATGCTGCCTGCAGTGTCCGCAGGCAATATTTGTTTACTTTTTTTTAATCAGCCTCATTAGCGCAGACATTGGCTAATGCCTATTATTTCAAAATGCCATTGATCAGCCCACTTAATTAACCTGACCAATTAATCTATCTATCTGTACATAAGACTTGAAGGGGACTGGCTGTAATCATATCAGTGCTCAGAAAGACATCTGGTTAATTTGACGTTGGTTTGTTGAAGATCAGAACAATCCCAAGAGAAAGTAAACACTACAGAAAAAGGACTGGAGAGGTTAAAAGCACGAAATTGTACAATTTGTATTACAACCCACTCATTATACTTTATCTCTGACTTTGTATTCCTTCGCTTTTGTTCCTTGTAGAGAAGTCTCTTTCTTTCTTCATGATGGTGCTACATGAACTATATCATTGTAGACCACTGAATTCTCATGGTTTGAGGGCGCAATTTTGAGAGTATTTCCTGTGTTTGGAGGAGCATGGGATGTACTCCTCCTCACTTCTTTCTTAGTCCAGTAAATTAAAATGCTGCTCCACTTCTTAGTTTAAGATTAGAGAGACTGCATGTCCTAGTCTGCCGTTTTATCCTCCCCATTACATGTAGGATGAGAGCTTAACTTCCCAAGAGTTTCCGTTTTAGCCAGGATCAATGGCCAAGTGTTCCTTGGCCGGAGTGAGTTCAGCCCTCCGTGTTCAGTCTGCGGAGTGACAGTGTCACCCACACAAGCTTAGAAGAACTGTGCCATCTACCTCAAGTGCGTTTTTTTTCTTCCCTCTCTACAAGTTTCAGTTTGTTGTGACGAGTCCTTTTCATGGTTTAAGTAGGTGACTGAAGGGAGCTGATCCAAATGGCCGACACAGCCCCTGGTTCATTATCAAGAGGCCTAGAATTTGAGATTATAGGTGATTACACTCATCCATCCCCTTTCCGGAAAAAAAAAGAGAAATCTGTTTAATCCCCGTCTCTGGTGCAGCTTCGGAGGGCGCCCAGGGACGGCTGGCATCCATCACAGCCCCTAAAAAAAGCTCAGAACATACGGAACCAGGAGGAGCCCTGGCCCGGCTTGCGGGGAAGAAGGCCAGTTGGCCAGCGAACAAGAGGTGCTGGGTCTGATCGGGCAGAGGGAGACGACGCTTGGCCGCAGATCACAGCGGTCAGTGGGGACATCGTTGGCCCGCCGACTCGCGTGTGGAGCTCTCATGGAAAATGGGAGGGGCGGGAGGGAGTTCAGCGCTGACCTTAGACTCTGAGCCACAGTCGCAACACGGCGGCACTCTCCTTCCAGCCTCGTCCTCTCCGCCTCTGACAGACTTGAGTGACGACTCTCATTCGAGCGCTGTGTGCTGGCTGCGCTTTCTCTCCATGCACTTTCCAACGCCAAATTCAACTGAGGGTCATTCACAGATAATCTGAAACCCATTATTTTTATTATGCAAATGTTTTCCACAGATTTTTACAATAGAGCTGTTTACACATTTGTCTTTAACAAAGATCTGCTGCACACCCACCCACATCACAGGTTTCACTTTATTGTTTCTCGTTTGAATTCAGCCTTTTGAATCCGTGTGTGTTGCATTGTGAAAAAAGAGCATGGTGGGCCGACTCCATTTAAAGGTCTGAATTGATGGACCATTTTGATCACCTGGAGAGTTTTGTTCTCATTAAATAGTGCCGCTCAGGTCAAGTCCAGACAGAGCCCCTGTCTGCAGCGTGAGCGCATTTCAACAGAGCATTGAGCTTTTTACAAGGAATCCTGGGGCTGGGAGACACAAATGACAAATAACATGACTCTCTTTTAAACCCGCATGTATTTCTTTTACTTCTGCTTGGGATTAGATATCTATAGGGGAACAAGACTTCAAGCATTTAAGCCAACAGGGTGGTTTAATAACTACTGCAAACTTTTTAGGACTCCATGATCTAGACTTTAAACCGTTCTCATAACATTTCACAGGAATAAATATTAGTGCAGACTGAGCAACCACTCAAAGTTTTATAGTCTCCAACTTGTCTGAAACTTCAATATGTCTGGACTTCGCTCTGTTTTGTCCTTGGATGGACTCCAGCATGTGAATTATAAAACCATCATGTTTGAATTTTTTTTTTATTCCTTTCGTAAAACTTCAGTTTTTCTCAGTAACTTTAAAATAAATAAATAAAATTAATAATAACAATAATAATAATAATGCATCAGATTTCATATAGCGCTTTATCAGAGACCCTCAAGCGCTTTACATTGGCTACATCATCCATTTGCTCACACAGTCACACCTTGGTGGTGGTAAACTACCTTAGTATTCACAGCTGCCCTGGGACAGACTGATGGAAACATGGCTGCCAGTTTACGCCTACAGCCTCTCCGACCACCACCACCACCACCACACAACACTCACAATCATACACCAGTGGAGGACACACACTGGGAGCAAGGTGGGTTAAGTATCTTGCCCAAGGACACAATAGACAGGCTAAGGATAGGGGGGAATCGAACCTCCAAACTCCCAGTTATTGGACGACCGCTCTACCTCCTGAGCTAATGCCGCACTACAAAACTATTGTTACAATGAGCCTATGTTTTGTAGCCCTAGAGGGCAGCATGGTGTCTTTTCTTGATCCTGACTGGTCAGAAATAGGAAGGTTTGTGGGAAAAAATGAAAAAAAAAAAATTCAAATCGGACATGATTTTTTTAACACGGGATCACAGAGTCTGTGTATAATCATGTCAAAGGGGTCTGCTTTGTCTGGCTAATGTGAGCAGAGCTGCAGGTTTAAGTCCACATCTGTGCTTGTTTTCTTTATTTTTTGAATCAAGATATTCTTACTCTGCCACACTACAAGTTTTCATCCCTTATTTGTTCCTGTTCGCTTGAGACGACTATAGCATTATTACAGTTGCCATAGCAGCTGCAAAATAACTTAACCACAACATATTACCGGCATTTCAGGTTTGAAGCAGGTACAATAATAACTCCTTAACTGACAGGTGATATGGGTGATAATTAGGATGAGGACATTTGATCGTTAAGCCAGCTAAACATGAATATCTCTAACAACAGGCTCCTTTCTCTGCTGATATTATGGGCCTAAAACCTATTTTATTAAATCTTTGTTGGGTTTAAAACCTGCAACAAATGACTGAAAACACATAAAGAAGAGAAAGAGAATGGTTTAGATTTCTTACTCAAGGAGAATGGGCAGAGATAGTTTCAGTTACAATCTCAAAACCATTCTGAAGGTATCTCTGTCCAGTCTCTTTTTATTTGGGGTTGTCCCTGGTTACACAATGCTACTAAAGGATGGGGGAAAACTATCTGTAGCAACGTAAGCACTCTCATAAAACATAATTATGAACAACAGATAATATGTGAGGGTCAAGGCGACATTGTTGACATTAAACGAGCTCCTTTTGATAGGAGCGGATCCTCCTCATTACTTCCCACGATTCACAGTGGAGGTTACAACACACACATACCTGCTTATAGAAGACACAAGGTCAGAGAAGTTAAGAAACACTCATGTGCTGTGTAATAAAGCTATTGGAGAGAGAAGTTAGAAAACACTCTTATATGATGTGTAACAAGAGGTTAAAACAGTTCATACTTGTAGCAAACTCTTCATAAGAATTTGAGTAAGATGATAACTTCTATATACATTTATACACATTATTCTGACATGTTAAATGTGGTGACAACATGCAGTTTGAAATGTTCTGACTAGTGGGATCATAGTGCAAATCAAAGGACATTTCTACAAACACTTTATGCATGACAGTTATCTAAAAATGCAGTACACTCGTGACATAACTTGATAAAAAGGATAAAAGGCGACTTTCTTTAATACGCTTTTTGACATTAAAAATTTCTTTGATGCCTAAAGAGAAAGGACTGCTCACAAGACAAGAAGAAAAATGAAGGAAAATGGTTCAAAATTAATAAAGCTATGTGATGCATAATTTCTTTCCTAGCTCAAAAGCAATCTTTAAAAAACTGTACAGAGTTTTAGTGTAACACCATAGATGGGCACACATCACCTGGCTGGGTGTCTGAATTTGACCATTACATATATCTGCCAATAAAAAAGGCAGTCAAGTCATGTCTGGTTTTAAACCTTCTTTTGATTTTGCTGATTCACTCCGAATAGAGTAGTAGTATGTGTTACAATAACATATCGTGGAGTTGGGTTGTTTAGACTTAATGTTGATTCTGTACGTGATTGACAGAAAACCTGACAATCCTGGCTTTCAATAGATCTATAAAGTATTACCTAGTGGCCTTTTTTTTTTTTTTTTTTTTTTTACGCAGTAAGCAGGATGTAATACCCCCTCATCAACATTTTAAACTAAAATAAAATCTTGAGATAGATTGTTTTCCTGGATTCATTAGATCGGCGCTCAAACTACATGTTTGACTAATCCAAATTTCCACTGGAATCATTATCAAATTTCTTATGCTGAAATTATCCACGCCACAGACAGCAACCACCTGTGATTTTACTGCTGTTATTAGTGCAATAACTAGATGGATGACTTTTTTCTGATGTTTTATGACTGGTTGGATATCCACGGCATGCATATGACCCAGTTACTGAGATATGAGCTTTCTACTGCCCCTGACGTGCTCTGCAGAATCACTTAAAGAGAGGGCCAATTTAATGATCCTCCCAGATCTGCAGACACAGATTAACATGCTGCTTGTTCTCTCTTAATTGTCTTGTTATGGTGGAATGAAGGTGGATGATCAAGAAGCAGAGGTGACCGACAAGAGTCCCTTTGTACCTCAGTGTCTGAAAAACAACTCTCTCCTCCCGCAGTCCTTTCCCCACCTGTCAGCACGACACAGAGTCAAAGTCAGGTAAGGACTCTTGCTGCAGGGTGTCACAAACACGACGCTGATGAGGGCCGGACCACACTGCTGGGAGGAGGAACAGCCCTCACTGACCAAACATGCCGCTCATGATTCATTCATTACATCGTTAACAGTTTCCAGAGTGTCAACAGCTTGTCTTTGAAGTGATAATCTTAACATTGAGGCTGTCCTTGAATTTCTCCTCTCTATTAAAACGGTTAATGGGAAATGATTTCTATAATTCAGAGAGGAGGAGTTCCCTCAGCCTTCTGTTAGTTAAACCATGTCTGAGAAATCTTTGGGGAAAAGACAGAAAATACAGAAAGCTCCAACAAGCTGAGGGCGATTCTCTCTCAGTTTGCATTTCAGAGCATGTTGTTTCATACCACATCTGAAGATTGTGTGTTTTGATATGTATTAAAGCTGATAACCGACTGCGAGTAAAGTGTCGCAAATAGTAGATTTTTTTTATCAATTTGAAAAAAACATAAATTTGAAGTATATGTGAAGGGCTATTTAAAATCTACAGACTGAATAAAGGGCAATAACTACAAGGCTAAAAATGAACATTTCTACTTGGTAGCACTGCTGCTTCTGACTCAAAAGAGTTTCGAGCACCAACAACAATTGAGAAACAGCACAACAACAATATACTGTGAACAATGTCATCTGCAACCTCTGTCCCTCAGGCTTTAAAGTGAATGCAGTGCGTTGTGCCATTTTGCATAGATGAGCTATTTTAAAGTCTTTCTACGACTCTCTCTGAAAACTGTGAGTCTTTTTCGCTGCCGGTGCGTCTACGCACATTCTCACCATCACCATCACCGGCCTCAGGAGTTACATTTTCTGTTAGGCAGCCTGTGAAAAATATCCCTCAGCATTCCCGTCATTCCCTCCCTGCAGCTCTTTTGATTTTGCACCAGTTCACTCTCTTTCATGTGAGAATGACGCACAGAATGATGGATGGCTAATAGTAACCAATCTGAAATCAGCACTAAAATGCTAAACTGGCATATGATCGGTCGTGTAATCTCTTGATTGAGTGGGATGGTAGCTGTTTAGGAATAACTGCTCAGAGGGACACCTCCCTTTTGACTGACATAAATTTGTGCCTTTAAGATTGAATAACAATAATGATAATTTTATTCAACTAGGAGCCTCACAGGGACCATCAGCGAATGGTCCCTGAATTAGCAATTGTTGTACAGAAAATAACAGAAATGCTCCAAAATATATTTTGAGGTCACAGATTTAATTTTTAGAGCAAAGACCGACAAAACGGCTGAAATGTTGAGCCCTGTAAATAGAT